GACATAACACAAGGAGAGTGGCTTTAACTGTGAAAATCAATATGGCTCTTGGCAGCTTTGCCGCTTCTTTTGTCTCTTTCGGAGCTGGATAGCGGATTTATTTTGTTAAAACCAAGAGACATTTAGAATTACAGAGGGCCTGTTTTAGGCACGGAGCTGCCTGGTGGTGTTCCCTCCTTGTGAAGTTCCCGTGACTGCTGGAGCAGGAGCACTTTGGAAAAACGGCCAATTAATGCATCCTCATTAAGAATATTAATGATTCTGGTCCTTGTTATATTAAAGCAAATCCTGAATATTAACCTCTATGACCTAACGGGATTTCCTCTCATAAGTCATGTGTTCATTTTTTTTCCCTAGAGCCTAATATACACGTTTTTATGTTGCATTCTTGCTATAGATGCACAGCTCCATTTAGCAAGTTTAAAAAATGCAACTAGCAGGGGTAAACATAGCCACAAAAGAAGAATATTTCAAAGTTGATGTAAATGAAGAACATTTGAGGTTGATAATTGCAATTGTGCTATAATAAAAAGGCTTAGAATAAGACAGAAACCCTTTCTTCAATTTTCAGCAAGAACGTAATAGCTCAGGTCTTTAACAACGTATAGCATGTCTTCTATCTAGTCTGCAATGGCGTATTGTCAGAAAAGTGCAAGTCTTGCAAAAAAGTGTGACATATCTTGTATCTCACTGAACTTGTGTTTTTTAATAGTGGTTACTAATTCACTGTTGTTTTAAAGGCGGTAGGTCAGTTTAGCTGAGTTTTCCTTCAAAAGAGTTTTGGCCTACGGTGTTTTGGCTTTGTTCCCCCCAGCCCTATGTATATGCCTTTTTTCACCTTCTGTTCCTTTTTTTTTTCTTTGCTCTTTCCTGTCTTCTTCCAACAAGTCGATGAGTAACTAACGGCCTCTTTTTCCTCAGGTCATAACGCCGTGGTATGGAGCTATATTCACAGAACCTTAGACTTACAGACATGTTCTTGCTGTGTGTTTTCTTTCTGGAATGAGAATGTAATAACATACCTTGTTTAGCTTTTGCTGGTTTCAACAGCAGATTGAACAAAGTTTTGCTTAATATTTTTGTATTAACAGTCCATTCTTAATAGTTTTGTGTTTGCTACAGGGCTAAAAATAGTTGTCAGAATACGGATCCTTCTGGATTATATTTGTGGAATTGAACAAATGTTTGATATTACCATTTGGTAACATATGACACCAACATTAAAATGCTGGCATATATTAGCTATAAGCCAGTTTCATGAGTGATGGCTCTCTTATGCTTTCATTGAGTAGTCACATATTCTTTTCCTTTAAAATATCTTACCACCTTTGATTCAGTGCCAGATTTGGGGGGAATTTTTATTTTTTTAATTTTTTTCTTACTTACCCATTTTAAAAATGCAGCCTACGGCAGTAAGACCCAAACGTTCTGGAGGCCTGAAGGTACTGTCACCTTCTGAACAGTGGCAGAGGACCAACATTTCCTAAAGGCTTAGCCCAAGCATTCCGACCACCTGGTTTGGCAGTCACAAATGCTATTTGCAATTAAGCTGTGAGTTCTTAGAGAGAGAGCGTTTACTTTGAGCGTTATTGCCACTGAGCTACAAGGAGAAAAAAAGGGGATGCAGACAAACCAGATAGAGACAAATTCCTTTTCAAAAATCATCCTTGAGAATATTTGAGCAGTAGATCTTACCGCTTGCTTTTCCTTCTGGCTGTTTTACAGGTTTGTGCAAGCTGAGAGCAACAGTTCTTTCTTTCAGTTTTGGTTTATGCACATGTAGAAATTAAGGCCAGAACTTACTGAATAATCAAGGCTGTTCAGCTACAGTTGCATTTTACAATAAAAAAGTAGAAGATTGATAGGCCTGAATTCCAGGTCAGTTACAGTTTTTGATAGCAACAGTGAAGCTGTGGGTTTGTTATGCTTCATAAGGGAAATGATCTCAGCATTTGGTAGGGTGGGATCTTCAAAAAGGGAAGATGTGTCAGATCTAGTGGGCTTGACAAGTGCAGGATCTTCTCACTCCACGTTATCAATGCTGTATTTTTGTCCACTGATTTTGAAGTGAGATCGAAAAGGTCACAGCCACAAAAGCAGTCAGCTGGCCGTATTCCTATGTATTTAGTTATAAACTGTTTCAAAAGAACCTTCGTGCAGCTTCAGCTGCTAATTTTGACTGTTTCATGCCGTAAACTGTCATACATATTAATGTGGCAGTCCAGAACTGACTGCATTTCAGAAAGAAATGAGTTGATTCAAGCGTGTGTGTGTGTGTGTGTGTGTGTGTGTGTGTGTGTGTGTGTGTTAACTTGTAACTCAGCAGAGGTATGGAGTCATAAAGTAACCAGGGGAAGCAACAGCTTTGGGCTAGTTATTCTTGATCCGAGCAGTTTTCAAGAGGTGGCAAGCTAATAGGGCGCATTAATTTTTAGTGGTTTCTTAGATGTTGGCTTTTTTTCCACCTGTATGGCTGTAAATCTTCTGTATGAATTGTGAAGCTGCTGTTCATACAGCTGCAAATTTTAAACAAGTGACCAGTGCTAGCCAAACTCTGCCAAATCAAACCCCCAAACAAGGTGTTTTGGCATCTAGAGACATTTTAGTACAAGGGCCAGGTTAGTATCCCATTTCTCCATATGATTTCCCTGTAATCCCATGAATAAGAATTTGCATTTGCTGTAGAGCCCCAAAGAGCTTAGTCAGAGCTCCAGGCCACCAACCTGCTAGATCCTGTGCAAAATTACAGTCACAAAATGGGCTGTGCCCTCACCCTCTTTGAGTGTCTCAGTATCACCCCATCCTTTCCCTTAATTTTCCTTGAGCTTTCATTAAGTCATAACTACCTTTGACTCTAAATGGAAATTTCAGCCTTCAGGGCAGCTGGATGGGATGTAGTATGTTCAAGTGTATATGCATTACATATATGCAAGTAAGTACATGCAACAGACAGGAGTACAGATTTGATAGGAACCCACCTTTTGCCATCTCTTTCAGTTCATTTCCAGATGTTTTCATGTGGTGACACTGTCCAATTTTCTACTTTCTAGAGGAATTCCTAATGATACACCCAACCTTATTACCCATGTTTTTTCATATACCACCAGGATGGAGCTCTACCTTTTAAATGTTAGTACAGTGATGCCACTGTTTCTGCTGACAGCATTTTCTTGCAGGATACACTAAAAGGGTGAAGGTTAAAATGAATTTAAAATACCTCAAAGAAAAATTCACCACACAAACTTGACTGTCAGGGTTTTTTTTTCTTTTCATGGTGGTGAAGTACATTGGAGATTTTTATGGTTTTGAGTGTGATCCAACATTGATACTGGAGGAGTGCCAGCAAGGAGGCTTTCAGAATATCAAGTTTTATACCATCTTATGTAATGTTTATGCGGGTGGGTTATGACATATTGAAATTCAATTTATTGAAATTATTGAAGCTATATTCACCCTGTCCTTCTGCCAGTGGGGCTGAAATGGCTGTTTTGGGGGATTCCTGCTTGCATAAACATAGACATTCAGAGGAGAGTGTTTTGCTTGAATGTTTTTGTCGTCTTCACCTATTTTCACTGGTGAATTGGTGCCATTACACTAAATGCCTACATTGTGCAGGCATAGACAAGGAAATAGATAAGGGAAACGATCTGACTGCTTAACAGTAATGAATATTTACTCAGGCTTGTATCACTGGTTTGGGAGCCCTACTTCAGACAGGTTTTGGTTTCTCTTCTGAACAGGGAACATCTATTTCTTTCCTTGCAAAACTCATGTTACACTAATGCAAAGAAAACACTCTACAGGGGCTATGTTTTTTTGATTTTATCAGTCTAATTCAATCAGTGTGGATGCATTTACATCTGTATGAAGCTGCCCTGAAACAATATAAATTTCTTCTGTCTAACAGACAGGAAAAAAGGCATGTTGATGCTGAGGTAAGTCTGTTGTCACGTGAGAGGCAGTGGTACCAATACAGCCAATTTGGGGAAAAGATGTATAAGAGGAATCGCCCTCCTAGCCAAAGCATTTATTATAGGAAAAAAAAAAAAAAAATAGACCAAGCTGCAAGTGTAAATAAATGTGGCTTTTTAAAGTGTGTTTGCTGACTAAAGCTGTTTCACCTAAAAGAACAAGAATAAATGGACCTGAATCACCAGAAAGGGGTTTAGGTTAGACATCAGAGAAGCCTTTTGTGTTGGTAAGGGTAGTTGAGCCCTGAAAACTCCGTCCTTAGGGTCCTTAAGGATTTTTAAGGCAGGTCAGATGAACAGCTTTCGAGAATGGTTTGAGTAGACTAAATCCTGCCTTGGACAAGGAGAAGAAAATGGGTAACCCCTTTAAAGACTGAATATGGTAACTTAACTGTGCTGTCCCTGGGTGTTTTATTGGTATGTTTCTATATGTGATTCATTTTGCCCTTGCAGGACATGCAGCAAGGAAATTGTGATAATGGGATTTAGTGATGTATGGAGGAAAAAGAAGCCTCTGTTTAAGAGAGCGTTCAAATTCCCAAGTGCAGTTCTGAGATCTCCTTTTAGTTTTTGCTTCTCTGAATACAGGATTCTCAGGTGTTTATGACACGTCTGTTTTTAACATTGTTGCATAACATGTTTGGAAAGCACTAGAAAACTATTCCAGCTTTTTTTGTCCTTTCAAATTTCAAAATCTCATTACAAGATTCAGCTTTTCAGTTAGCAGCATTATAAAATAAAAATATGATTTAAATATTGCAGTTGAAATATTCTTAAGGGTATTTTACTTGTGCTTCAGAAATTTAGCGATACAAGAAACCTACCTCTATCTATAGCTCTTAAGCTCATCATAGCATCAAAAATCAATTCAGCAAGATGATGTTTAGTCAGAGCTTTGACATATCCATATGTGATTTTTGCCATGTCGTTCTATTGGTTGGGATTATGTTCCTTGCTAAATGATTGCTACTAAATTTTGTCAGTATGTTCAGTAAAAGTGGCCCTGAGAAATATCTTCCGTTTCTGCAGGCCAGCTTTAGGTGGTCTCCTTACATCATCTTTTCGGCAGCACCAAGAGTCCTTGGCAGCAGAAAGAGAAAGACGGCGTCAGGAGAGAGAAGAAAGATTGCAAAGGATAGAACGTGAAGAAAGAAACAAATTCAAGTAGGAACCATATTTGCTATTGATCTGTTGCCTTAATGTGTGTTAGGTTTGTAAATCACTTAGATATTCATTGCAAAATAATTGAATTGCTGAATAGTTTGTGTACTTATCTAATTCTTTAGATACCTTACTTGATATAAGTATCTTAAGGACTGGCATATTAAACCCATAATCATGAATTTTGGCATTTAATAAACTAGTGATTTTTTTTAAGGCAGCTATGTAATTGCCAGGCTAATTACACTGCCTGAATATCTGCACAGGCCTGGATTTATCATCTGACATGCTGCCTCTCAAAGCATAATCTCAATAAGGTATTGAGGATGAAACTATGGAAGGAAGGTATCAAAAAATGGAGAAAGGGACAGCACTGAGACATCTTTTTGCTTTTGTGTTTTGCAAAGTCAAAGCATTTTGGCATTTTCAGAATTTATGTTGGTGCTTGGATTACTAGACTTTTTCCCTGCTTTTTTGAGCGTACGTCTCTTCCTCCTGGAAACAGCAGCTTATAGAAAATAATTCTCGAAGTTATTGCTCAAACAGTGGTCAGATATCAGGGGCGAAGGCTGAAGTTGAATACAGCCCTTGAAGATTCAATACAGTTGAATTCCCTTTTCTCATCTGAGGCCACGTCATGCACTGTGGGATCCCAGCATGTGCTGCCTTAGGATAGTAAGGGGCAAGTCCCCTCTTTCTGTTAAATCCCTGTCTGGAAATCCCAGTACAGGCATTAGCAAAGACTGCAGTGGGCTTAGAATAGATAGGGTACCTATAGCTGAAGTGGCTTGTCTGCTGCCTTAGTCAATCTGAAGAGTGTGCACTAAGAAACAATTTTTTTTTTCATAATTGAGAGTGAAGAGTAAATAATATTGTCAAATAATATTGTCAGGAGTGAGAAGAAAGACTGTAATAATCTAAAGAATAGCAAGATAAATGTTTCGTAGCCTCAGAGTTGATATTTATGGGAAAGATGGCACAGGGTTTCCTGTGCATTTGTTTATTAGTATGCAGGATTGTTTTCATTGTAATCATCTCTTTAGTAAGAAGTGGAAATAGTCTGTGTCACAGCGAATTTGGAAAGAGGAAAACTTGCTAGTGGTTGGTTGGTTGAAGGAGATATTCTCCTGGCTCCAGAAGATAGCTAGTTTAGAAGAAAATGAGAGGCGGAGGGAAGGTGGAAGAGCACCATAATAGGATCTTTGGCAGCCAACAGTTGCCCAAGTTCTCCTGAAACAGAAACAATCAGGTCTCAGTCTTCAAGCCTCTTCCAAAAACTCTCCCTCTGAGTGGTATCATCAGACTGCTGCAGGCTGTCGTGGACAGCAAACATCATCTTTCAAAAAGGAAACTCCCAGACCAAAAAACCACCAGGACATTTGGCAGCTCAATCCGTTTGAATAGCAGATCTGCACATTTCACTAAAGGCTGACTACAGTACTTGTACTGTCACTGAAAGAGCTTCCTAAAGTCAGAAAAACACATTTTTAAAAATATACATTTTCATCCCATTGCTCCCGAATCAGAAACTGGTTAGCATGGTTGTGCATACTTGAGACAGTAAATTTTGAATGCCCAGCGTTTTCATCTTCAAGATTTGAGTTCCCAGCTCACCCAAAAGTATAATTTATATTTGAGTAGAGGGTCTCCAAAGCTACCAATTGTTGCAGACAGACAGAATCCCATAGTTGCTTAAACAGTCTGGCAGGAGGAGAACAAAGCCACAGCAAACAATCACGGACAGTTTCATAAGAGTTCTTTTGGGATTACATGATCAAACCATCAGATTGGCTGGAGACCCAGTCTCTGAAGATGTATTTTTGAACAAAAATAGCACTTCCAATTCACAACCTTTAAACTCGTGAGCAGTACTGGATTTACCATCATGACTCATCTGTTATCTCATTCTTTCCAACTCTGCTTTGAGAACGTTGCACTAGATTCTGGCACCATTATTGACAAATTGGAGATAATTTAAAAGAGAGCACCACCAGTTATGAAAGAGCTGTTTTTTAGAAAAGGTGTTAAAATGCTTTATAAGCTATTGCTAGGAAAAGCAATGCTTTGCATAATGAATATTTTCCTCAGTAGATGAACCATTGTCTCCATAGCATATATAGAACACTATGTCCTAAAGTACAAGCATTGTTCTTCAGCTGCAGGGAAAGGTGAAAGTTGTCAGAGGGAAAATCCTAGTTTTCTTTTCCCTTTAGGGTTATTCCCATCGCTATTGTAATAGTAAAGAATATTATAAAATGTGATGAAAGTGTAACCAGATTCTGAAGTATGTGGAGATGGCCTGAAATGATAATAAGCGTATTACATGTTAATGATAACTTTAAAGAGCAGTTATCAGCAGATGTTTAATAGCCATTGCCATTGTAGATGAGTAATTCATTCAAAAACAGATTGTAAAGAGAAATAGTGGTGCTTTATCCGTAGATGGAAGAGTTCTGAAAATTTTTCTGGTTAGACTGCAGAAGAACCAAAGAAATACGGTGAAAGTCTCATCAATTTTGTCCATAAGATTCAGCAAAATGCTAAAAATGTCAGGGAACTATATTTCTGTGGTTTTGAGGTAGACTGGATGTTCACTGGGTTCTGCTGTTATCCGAGTTAAATGTGCTTCCTGAGTAATTTTGCACTAACAACGTTGTGGATTTGTGAATACCTGAAATTGCAGTGCCCAGGCATTCGCCAAGGTTGACTTGGCAGAAGTTAAATATATGAGTTGCTTGAGGAGCTGTGGGAGGGCCAGCTGAGATAGAAGAAGGTTTGTATCTAAAACTCAGGGTGAAAAATAAATAAAAAAGTTACCTGTCATATATTCTAAATGTGCATTTTAAGAACAAAGAGTTGTCCTGCTAGATAATGTTAAAGACCCAGCCAGTTCAGTTTCCAACTGTAGCAATTACATTTAGGAAAGATGCCTCAAAAACAGGGCAGGTACAGCATGCTCTGCACCTTGGTTTAGCCTACCAGATTCCAGTAGATACTGTTTCAGAGCATTCAAGATGGGGCAAATGAATAATTTTGAATATCCTCTAAAAGGCCTGCTCTTTATGAACATTCCTAATTCATCTTCTCTGATCCCAGTTATCAGTTTTGTGCTTCAAACTATTTACTTATTATTACTTCTAATGATCTTCCAAATTATACATTCGGTGTGTATATACATGTGGTGTTGGCATGCATAAGTGTACATGTGTAACTCTTCAGCATTTTTTTCAGAGAACAAAATTTAATAATTTTTGTTTGAAAACAGCCTTTATTGTCTCTGATTAGTCTCTTTGTACTGCTCTTGGTTTCTCCTACTGTACTTATACCCCTGTTACTGACCTTATTCTTCTGATTTCCTCTGCAACTTATTGCAACTCTCCTTTTAGCCGTGATTATTTAGACAAAAGAGAAGAACTAAGACAAGCAAGAGAAGAGAGGTTTGTATACAATGCATCCATCTTTTCCTTTGGTTGCTTCCACTTTCTATATTCTTTATTGTGTAGCTATTGGCTGTTAAAATTTTTAACTATGCATGCACAGAACACTTTATTTAAAAAGAACTCTATAATAAAGCCGTTGTTTCATTAAAATGAGAATCAAGTTCAGTGGTAAGCACAGCAATACATAAAGAGCAGTGGGACTGGAATGTCTAAGAATGATTGATCTGTCTTTTATCTGTTTGTGTGGGAAATAAGCCTATTCCATTTGCCTCAGAAATTTGCACAGATTTAGTATTGTTATAAATCGAATAAGCCTGTATTTCTCATCCAGCGCAAGCTAAGCTTTCTGGTAGGTCAGAAAAGGCAACTGAGGATATAGGAAGAAGCTGGGGTCACCAACATTGGAAAACCAGAGTTACAGGCCCATGGAACCTGACCTACTCACAACACGTTTTTTATCGTTTATGGCCAAATATTCTTTGCCAGTCTCTCTAAAAACTAACGAGTAAATTTTACAAGCTTAGCAGTGTTTATGATTAAAACATTGTTTAATCTTATTTAAATAGAGTATTTAAGTGGACTGCACCTTTTTTTTTTCTTTTTAAATTCAGTTGAATAGTTTAGAAACTCTGGGCTAGGCTGGGGACTTCCAGTGCCTATGAAAGCACATTTTTCAAGGAACACTCAACTAAAGACCTTTGCCTTTCAATAGTTTCATCTCCGAAGTTACTCAAACCCTGGAGGGAACTCTTGTTTTCAGCTGGAAAATGTGCATGCTACTAAGTAAGCAGTAGATGAGAAATCATTTCAATTGCTTCGGTTCTGCTTTTATGGTTCTCTAGAGATTGTTATCCAGAGATACTTGTGAAATCATCAAGAATTGGAATTTTATTGTCAAAGTGCGAGAGCAGCCATCTCAGAAATTGTCATGTTGCTGGGTTTTCTCTCAAAACCATCACATAGAGGGCAATTCTTTTCTGCAAACTTAAATCTGATCTACCAGCTTGCCTATTGTGGCTGAAATAAAAATGATTTTGACATTTCTAAGGGTAAGCAAAAGTTGATGGGCTTTCCTTTGTCCTTCCAGCCAAAACAATTGCAAATAGTTTGAAGCATTTTCTAAAATGAAATACGTCTGAGCAGATAAACATCATACACTGATCTAACTTGAATAAAACCTTTCATAGCAAACATGCTTGTAAGTTAAATTTGAGACAAATTAAAAATGAGCTCTCCAGCACTTTCAAGCTGTAATGGAACACACTAAGTAAACTAGGGTATTTTTTTGGAACTGTTCACCAGCCGAACATCATTGCTGTGCAATCTGAGCCAGTTTCACCAGTCGTTAGCAACATGTCTTTATCCTTAAGGCTCTTTTGAACTGGAATGTTAAATTTTTAAGTTCCTTCTCATAGGAAGAAAGGCACATCTTTACTTTGACTGTATGTAAATATTGGAGAAAACTCCTGTAACTGAAGACAGTCCATTACATTGTCCTTCTATAATTCTCTTTCTTCCATACAAACACCTTTGCACAAATGAACTTTCACGTAGCAAGCTGGATGTTGTCTTGTTTTAAAAGAATGCAAGAACCACAAGCAAATGCTATAATCAAGGTGTTAAAATCCCAGTTAAAATATGGACTAAAAATATTTATGGCAAGCAAAACGCTAAGTTTGTGCTACTTTGAATATAGACTTTCCCTCCATATCACTTAGGAAAAGTAAAAGGAAAGAATATTGAATACATACAAATGTCTCCATTCAAGGACTGTTTTGTCTAAATTCTGTCCAATCTTTGGAGCCTGCTGCCTTCTTTCATGTCACCCTGTGCTCTAGAATACAAGCACCGACTTTTCCAACAGCTTTTGGGCTAGGCTCTCTTATGAGGGAGGAGGGGTCCCTGCAGTTTCCATGGGTTTGAAAGTAACTCAGCAATGTTCATTTCGGGTTGTTCTTTCAGATTGGTCTTGGGCTTTTTTTGCTTGGGTATTTTTCAGTGGTACTTTAAAAATACCCTGACAAAGGTATACTCCCAAGCCATCTCCAGTGCTGCTTACAGTTCAAACGGGATCGTACCCGGTGACTTAGCTGGTACAGAAATATTTTAAGTAGCCCTCAGGGCATTGCTCAGAGACCTAGAGAACTTGTAATGGTATTTTTATTCCATGATAAATGGAATGTAATGTTTGAGAGGTATACTGAAGGGATAGCCCACAAATTTGCAGCTCTCTACGTACAGAGTAGAGTCAGTATAGGCATGGTGATGGCAGTATGTTTTCCTGATTTAAAGGAATATGGCAATATATGCAGAGGCATTGTGTCAACCTTGTAGTAGAGGAACTAAATCCAGCAGAGGGATAACTCATCCTTTTCACTCCTTCAGATTTTGGTCTTCATGAGATCTCACGAATTTGATAATTTTGACATTCACTATTGAGACACTAGGTTGAACCGAAAAAAAAAACAAAAAAAACAAAATATATGTTGTTTGCCAAGTGCGAAGTGATAATGACTGAGTCCAGAATCATTTTTGCTTACCTGGTGTAAGTTGCCACATCTGGTTATTAGCTGCCCCTTTGGTAACCGAGTTATGCCCATGTGCTGCCATGAAAATTGCTGCTTAGGATACCTTTTTTCTTTCAGTGTAATGAACAGATATATTTTGAGAAGGCACATCTTGATAGTCCTCCGCTTTCCAGTTAACTGTGCAGCACAGAGCTACAGAAGCTAAAATGTTAAAGCAGCTGCAAAAGAGCTGAGGACGATAAAACATTGTAGCTCCCCCTGTTATAGAAGGATCCATCCAGATCTTTGTTGTAGTGTGTTGGCAAGCTGCAAAAATCCTCATTGCAGCCAGCTGGTCTGTACCTGTTTTAGCAAAGCCATCGATTTGAATGGCTCTTTGAGTCTTAAGTCTCGTCTGCTCTATTCTTGAGGAGGGGGAAGCCACAATACATAACTGATCACAGCAAAAAGGAGGGCTGGTTTCATTAACTGTGACAAAACACTATGATAATGCAGGCAAAAGGCTTTTTCCCCTATTGAAAAGGCAGAAATCATTCTTTAGAATTGGCTTCATGTTAGAACTGTAAACAGTTCCTATTTTATAACCATACAAGTATGTGGCTTGTTATATTTTCATCCAGAGTCTGTAGGGGTTCTTTTTCTCGCAGGATTTGTTCAAAGCATGTGCATACCTCTGGAGGAATAGAAGAAAATGAGTTTGTTCTTCATTATTACTGTTTGCAATAAAGCAAATTGCCTCTGAAAACACAAGAATTGCTCTTCAAAGACATGTTTCCATGCTCTATATAGATGTTTGCAAACGTGCATGTGTGTGTGGTTACCATATGTGCTAAGCATGTTTGTTACCACATATGGCTGACTTCTTTCCCCTTCCTGCTTTTAATGCACACTCGTACACTAATTTGGGCTGTCAGTGGGGCAGAATGGGGGAGGAGAGGTGTTCCCTGTTATGAAGTGTTTACAACAGCGGGTTGTAGGAGGATGACCACAGCGTTTCAGGGACATAAGCGGTAGTCTCGATTAACCTGTTTAACAGTTCACTTGCGGGTAAGACAAACAGTCTAAAACCCGATACAGCTGCATTCATGAATTTATTCCTTAGCAAATAACGGTGGATAAAATTAGCAGACATCTGGAAGAGGCACATATTTCAAAGTTATTTTGGTCGAAATGTATAAAGCACACTATGAAGAATATGATTGGTAGCTGGTCTTAATAAACAGTTAGTGAGTTCTGCCTGCCTAAAATGCAAAACAGATGTATCTTTGTTCTTTTAAAGTGACTTTGATGAATAAACTACATGTGACGTCAGGTCCAAGCTATTGGATGTCTGAGTCCGGCACAGAAATTTTTCAGAATAAAAAAAAAAAAAAAAGAAAACTTTCCATTGTAGACTCTGGAGAGAACAAAGTGAATTCCAGTGCGTTGCTCTCTGAGCAAATAGAAGCAGGTTCAGAGACTTTAGATAGTCGGTCCAAACGTTTATTATTGGCATTATTTTCAGGGAGATCTGTTTTTGTCTGCTGCATTGAACCGTTTTTCTCTTCTTGCAGCAAGTCTCAGACTTTGGCTATTTGCATCAGTATTAAAGGGCTCTGGCTTTGGAGGGTTGTTTTCCACCCCCCTCCAGTTTTAGTTTTGAGAGAGGGAGGGCTGGGAGAAGGAGGAGGTACAGGAGGAGGGTGAAAAGGCGGACAGGCAAATCCTTCCAAAAGGAAAAGGACTATGCAGACAGAAAGCTCTGTCTAAGAGCTGTTTAATTCTAGCATTTTTGGTTTTGTTTTGTCATGAGCAATTTCACTTTTTTCAGGGGAATAGTCTTTGCTTTGGTGTGCGTTTTTTGGCAGTTTGACCAGGCAGGCAGTTTAGCGCTATCCCCCTTGTGTCAGGAAGTCAGCTCATTCTCTGCAGGTGTTTCATCCATAAACAAGCATCAACCACAGGCTTCTCTTTCTTTACGGAAACCCTTTGGAATTTAACTTTCAGATACAAATACTTGGAGAGGTTGGCAGCTGAGGAGTATGAGAAGGAGCTGAAAAGTCGGAGCGTAAACCGAGGCAGAAGTGAGCTGTCCTTGAACCTGAGATCTCCTTCAGCGCCATCCTCGCCTGTACCCAAGTGCATCAGCCCAGCATCTGTTGAGTCCCAGGAAGAGCTGAAGACCCCTTCCACCCCCTGTGGGACTCCTCAGCCCTCAGAAGGTAAGTGAAAGCAGGGCGGGGGAGCAGCATGACATTTTTATGACTGTTTCTCTTGGGTTAGCAGTGCTTTTTAATGCATGAGTACCTGAATATAACCTCTGAGGTGCCAAAGTAAAGGGTCTTGTCATATTGCTTCGTGCTGTCTGCCTGATTTTCCTTCCTTTTTTTCCACATGGATGTGGCTGTCTTCTAGTCTATTCAAGGAAAGAATACATTGCTGATTTATATTATCATTGTCTGTTGCTACTAGGATAAAATAATTGGAAAATACAGCATACAGAGGGTCTTATTTTAGCATCGTGATCCTCGTGTATTAGAAGTTACTGAGTACTAAACCAACAATATTCCTGCCAACAGATTCTGCTTATGTGGATTCTCTGAAAGAAATGCAACAGATGAATGCCAAGATTATAATAACCTTCCAGCATAGCACAGGCTGAATGGTACAGACCAAAAAGGTCTTGAATTGAAGGCAGGGAGAGTGTTTTGGTTATTTTTAACACCAGCAAAAACTCTTAAAATTGTAGCACAAGTAGTAAAAGACTTAAAAGAGACCACAGACAATTAGTAAAAAGCAAAGTATAATTAGCGTTTGCACGGTTGGTTTGCTGTCATATAATTTATTGGTGTGCAGAGCAATATTTTGTGTGTGCACGTCATTCTGCCACTTGTATCATGTACCACTCCTTCAGTCCTCCAAAACAACAACAACAAAAAAAAACACCATACAGATTTATATTTGTGCCACATGATGTTGCATTAACATTGGGAGCTTCAGTGCATGTTGAGGGTGAATTATTGCCATCATTCATTTTTATTTGATTTGATTTCCTGCTACATGCTATTGGTGATTAATGCTTTTGTGACTTGCACTACTTGGTTTTATTGAGTGTTATGGCTGGTAGCATGCTATAAAGCAAGGCAATTTAAGGAAAAAGTTACAGATACTAAATGTTGTATATGATTATGCTCACCATATTAAATAGGTGAAGTTTATTTAATTTAAGTTTATATGTTTTCTCAATTATATTCCCAGTTTTCTTGTCTGGCACCCTACAAGTCCCAGTGGAATCATTTGAACTTAAAAAACATGGATGTTTTCCTGTAACACTGATATTCATAAACACCAAGATGTCCAGTTTTTCAAGTGCGATATTGCTTTTAGAGCAAATAAGCTGGATTTTTCCACCATTAGGATTTCAGACTTGGGTAGGGAGCAAGTATCTCTTTTATGATGATTATTTTAACATATTTCTCCTGGAAGAGAAGCATTCAAAAATATTGCAGCATGAAATGGAGTAGCATGATCCGTTTGGAGAATAAATTTAGAGCAGGTGTACAGGGCAACTTCAGGCAGTCTGAATATGGCGAAGCAGTCGGCACATGCGTAGGCAGGACATCTCTACTGGCAAAATCAGAAGGCAGCACTTGGAAGCTCAGCAAATAAACCGCAGGCAGAGAACATATACATGAGGCAGGGTAAGGCACAAGTCCAGCCACAGGCAACTGCAGGCAGATGGCCAGGACTGCACCAGAGCATCTTGCTTCAGTGGGAGTTCTGCATGAGTAAGGACTGCTGCTTCAGGCCTAAAAGCAACATCAGAAATAATCAGCATGGGGACAGGGCAGGCTCTCTCCTCCTCTGGAGGTGGCCCGTTTATTGGATCTCACCCAGCAGCTGGCAGACTTACTTGCAGATTTTGTGCCATGGCCTCGAGCCTACTGTCTGAGCTCCTTATGCTCCATAATGAATTAATATCTCTACATTTTTTCTGTTCTCAGGAAATGTTCTTACTCCTGCTTAATAAATAGAGAAACTGAGGCACTAACTTGCTTAAGTCATTTGTAGGAAGGCAGAAATAGAGCTATGGACAGAGCCCAGATTGCTCAAACCCCAAAGTTTCTTTAAATGTGAAAGTCATTGTCTTCCCAAGCAAGGATAAAGCTGCAGAAGGAAAATACTTGCTCAGTTCTGTGCTCACTAAGATCCTCCAGATCTTCCAAAAGAACTGCCTTAACGGATATAAGACATTTCTCTACAGTATTCTGATGCTGACATCAAATGGGAAGTGTATTCCTTTACTGGCAAAACAATAACTACTTTTAGGAGTCAGATATATTTTGTCCCCAATATCCTTTGGGCTTCGAGTATATACTGGGCTTAAGAAAGAAATGGATTCTGTCTGGGGAACTTTGTCCCATGCTGTGAAACTTCTCAGTATCTCTACAAAATACAAAAATCTGGACTTACTGTACTGAAGTGTTTTCTCATAGAAAGCAATTGGTTCCAGTAAAGTAATCAAGTCTTGTAAGACTTACTCTTGTAAAACTCATGGTATGGCATTCAGAGGAAATGAAGGCAGTCCCATAACTACAAAATGGAACTTAATATTTTCTTCAGAGCACCTCCTTCCTCTTTTGTAAATTCATTGGAGAATATTTTATGAACTACACATGTGCAGTAAAGGAGAGCAACAATAAGCCGAGATGTCTCTGAAGTCAGTCCACAAAGGACCTGGAGATGAACTCTTCTCTGAGAAGAACAGCTTTATGTAGTCCTTGAGGAAGTAACCACGTTAACCTAAGTGTGCATCACAGACAGTAGGAAACCTTCTCAATGTATCAGTAGCTGAGCAAGACTCAAGGACTGCCTGAAGTATGAGTAGCTGAATATGTCTCAGCAGATGGAGGAGCACTAGAGAATGGGGAGAACCATGAGACCGTTGCAGCCACGGTTATACAGCCAAAGGGAACTGTGCAGAAAGACAGAGGGGGAGCTAGGGAAGATAAAGGAAGATCATTTCTGACTTGAGGAAGAAAAAGCTGGTTCCCTAGCGGTGATCTATGTTCTGTGCTAGCCTTTACCATCATATTAGGTGGGGAGAAAAGGCTTTGTTGAAGGGGAGAGAGAGAGACAGACAGAGATTGCGCCTTGCTGACTTCACAGCAAGAGGAACGTTCCCTGCTGGAACAGCTGAAGGGAGATTCCAACCAACATTTTAAGCTATATCTGTACAATTGCACCAGGAGGGTTAGGGTAGAAAGTGACTTCTTCAGACTTACTGTATATATCCTCAGAAACACTTACTGTATCTCCCAGCTCCAAAGAGAGAGCAGAGAAGGTAGATGAACATAAGGTTGCCTAGATTATTACCCTGACAAGGGATTAGAGTGTAGACCTGACGGGATATTTGTTCTCTCTGAGGGCTTATAGGACTGAGAGGTTGAGGTCTTATCAGCAGGCGTTAAGGATACCACATCCTGTGGCTAATTCAGAGTTCTTTAACAGTTGAGTACTGCAAGAGAAGCTGTTTCTTTCCACACCCCCGTATAGCATCAAAGGATCAGAGCCATGTTGTTTGGAAGGGACTAGGTTGTTTGTCAGCTTAACCTCTTGCTCAGAAGAGGGCTATCACCAGCATCAGGTCAGGTCTTCTATGGCTTTAGCTGGCCAAGTCTTGAAAATCTCAGATCATGCGGATTTCACTGTCTCTGTGGACAGCCTGTTCCAATGCAGCTGTACCCTCCTAGTTATGAAGTTTTTCTTAACGTCCAGTCTGAACCTCCCAAACAGAAAGTTGTGGCCATTGTCCCTGTTGCATCATCTGCCACTCCTGAGAAGAGTTCTGTTGTCTTTGTACCTTCCCTTAAGCATATCTGGACTGCTATTATATCCTTTACCTTCTGTTAGCCACACTGAACAGACCCAGCTCTCTCAGAGTCTCCTTGTAGGACATATACTCTAGACCCCTGACCATCTTGGTAACCATCTGCTGGAGCCTCTCCAGTTTCTCGGTCTCCTTCATGAAGAAGGCAGGGGCCAAAAAAGGACACAATATTCCAGGTGCAGCCTCATTATCACTCTGTAAACTTCTTTTGAATTGATAGTTGTAATTGTCCTAATGCAGCCTGGTGTGCAGATTGCCTTTTCTGCAATGATAGCACACTGTTGCCTCTTATTTAGTCTGGTGTCCCATCTGCAGAACTTTGCACTTCACCTTGCTGAACTTGGTGAGGTTTCCTTTGGCTCAATCCTCAAATTTCTTATTTCTATATTGAACCTCTACGATTTAGCATGTCTGCTGCCATACCCAATTTAGCATGGACCACAAGTTTGCTGATTGTGTATTCAGTCTCACCATCCATATTGTTAATGAAGATATTGAACAATATCAGCCTCGGTGTCAGCTCCTGGGTACTCTGCTTATTACCAGCCACCACATGGACACTGAGCCATTGATTATTGAGCCTGGTGGCACAGATTAGTTTTTAACCGTCTAACAATTGGATCATTCAGCCCATATTCCTTCTTCAGTTGCTATGGGAGTTGACATCAAAAGGTCGGTAAGGCATGACTGGCTCTTAGTAAATCTGTGTTGACTGTTCCGGACTATATTCTTGTCCTTCAACTTCCCAGATGTATGTGCTTCCTGAGTTTTCTAGGCACTGAGGTGAGGCTGACCAGCCTGTCATTCCCCAGATCCTCCTCCTTTCTTAAAGATGGGGTGATCTTTCTCCATTCGGGAGAGGCTTTTCCCAATCACCATGACTTTTGTAGATGATAAACAACAGAAAGACCTAATAATATTAGCTAGAATTAGGGGCTTCGTCTCTGTGGAGAGCAATGTAGACTGTGGGCAGCTGTAATGAGTCAGCTTTGCCTTTTCTGAAAAACTAGAATTTATCAGGCAATTGCAATATAGTAGGATTAGGGCCTTATGGGAAAATAAAAAATAGAGCCTGCTACTTGTTTTATCTTTCACCTGTTAAAAGAGCCATGAAGAAAGTTTGCATAGACCTGCTTGTCCATTCATATGCTCGCTGACGTCTTCTCTTTCAAACTCCAGGCGTATGTAAGCATCACAGTATTAAACAAGAGTGCAGTTAGCTCATCTCTCTGTCTGTGCCATAGGTAGAAGCAGAACCTGGTCTGCAGCTTCTCACCAGCTGCTCACTGTTTCGATGTGGCAGGATCCCAGGAGGCAGGTTAGGGAGAGACAGCAGATGACACTGATTGCGTTTTAAAAAGAGGGGAAATCATTGTTGAGGAACTACTAGAGGTGGGTATTATAGTGAGGTGTGATTGGTGATGAAAGTTCTCCATCAGGTGGTCATCAGGAGGAAAAATGCTTCAAAACTGTGCAGAAGAGGTACTGTGAATTTAGGGTCCTGAACCTCATTAGCAACTTCAACATTGTTAAGAAATCTGATTTCTGGAAAAATTTTGGAAACAAATAACACTAGTTGCCCTTTTATACCTTCTAAACAAAAAAACCTGTACACATTTAATGAGAGGTTCACAGCTGCCATCTCTTTGGTGAGGCTGCAGAGCTTCTCTGAGAGATTTCATTCCCTCAAGAGGTCTTCGTTTTTTGTTTTTTGTTTTTTTTTTTTTTTGGATAATACATTTTTAGTGATTAAGCTCTGGCAGAAAAAGAAATGAGCATATGATTCAAAAATTAGACCTTAAAGCCACATTCAGTTATCCTCCTCCTGATGAATGCAATTCTAAATAAAACTTCTGTTCATTTAGAGAAAGTATCTCTCATCCCCCCTCAAAAAAAAAAGCAAAACAAAACCTGAGCCTTGAGAGAAGTGTGAAAATAGTATACGAAAGCAAAAAGAAGTTTCCTCTATGAACCTGGCAAGCTCAGCTCAGGTTTAAAGGAGAACTATATGCATGTAAGAATTGCATTACGCTTTTAAAAGTCTATATTGGTCCTAATGACATCACCACTAATTCTCGGAAGGTATCAAACACCTTTTTGCTATTGCTTTTTGATATGGCCATACTTGCTTCCCTGAATTTTCCCACTCATCATCATCAGGAAGACTGAACAAAGGAAACAGAGACTGGTCCGTTACCCAATTCTGTTGCCACTGCAAGTTGCCATTGCAAGGTTGCCACTTACAACAGGGTTTTGTCTGATGTGAAAATCAATCCAGTAAATCCTGGACTGAAAGTTCCAACTCATTTCCAAAGAGGTCATCAGCAACCATCCACTGGGAATTTTATTTTTTAACATTTTTAGAAGTTCTTACCAAATTCAGCCCAGTTTATTACAGTGGAACTGCAAGTGGTACACATAAGACTAGCTTGCTGGTTTTATTCTTTCGGTAGTGTTTATTGACAGATTTGATTTTTAAACTGCTATTTGAGGGAAGAGCTACTGGACTTAGCTCACTGCAGTAATTTGAGTTATAGTTGGATTGTTTGACATGATCCCAGAAGTGAGAGGGGCTGTCGAAGTGAAAGTCAGCATATCCCTGGTTAGTTCTGGAGGTGCTGAGGCTTGGTGTGTATGTGTATATATATGTGTGTGCGTGTGTGTGTATATATATGTGTGTGTGTGTATGTATTTGTGTATATATATAGAGAGAGAGAGCTATTTACTCTTTGCTATACATTAGATTCTGCTAAGATACTGCATCTTTCTCGTGTCTGTGGACTATTTCAAGTACACAGATTCAGAATTCTTTTGAATATTCCTTTCTAGGTTTATGTTCTCATTTTCTCAAGCATTTTTTATGTCTTTCCCGACTTCATCTGTATTGAATCTTTAGAGTAGCTTCATGACAGACCACAGTGACGTAAGCATTAACAATCCTAACCAAGTTTTAGTCACCTCCTGTCTTTACGTGAGCTGCTGATCTTTTAGGTGATTGGATAGTAACATTTACAAGAAAAAAATTAAATTCACACCATGGTAAACCAATAACATGTGTGTGTAAGTACAGAGTAATTGCAGGCCATTGCACTGTCTCAAGCTCAGAGTCTCTCAAATGCTGCAGTACCCTGTTAGTTCCAGGATCTCCTGAAGGGTGCCTAAGCTTGTGGAAGTTTTATTCCAGTCTTGGCTTGACTTTAACCTGCTGTCATACTGTACCTGCGTGCTGACAGCTGTGGTCAGAAACACACTACGATGATTCAGAGTGTCTGCCACCTTCTTACCAGCTTGCTATAACTTTGATTCTCTCATAGGCAGTACCTAAATAGGGTACAGTCAAAAGTAAGATACGTTTAGAGCCACAGGAGCCACAGAACTGCTCACCTAATTATAGACTTTAAAAATATTCTATGTAGAAGAGGGAGAAAGGTAAGCTCTTCAACTGGGAGTGTTTTAAAACCTCTTAAAGAGGTTTGAGTGTGCATGGACTATATGTTATACATACTACAGGTACATTTTATATAGCTATATATAAGTATATACAGATATACAAGCATATATGTACACATGTATACAAGCATATATGTATATACATGTAATTTTGTGCACTTAAATGACATAAAATAAAGCGAGAATAGTATAGTACTGAAGGTGTATCACTGAGAGCTAGTTTAAACCTTAAGTGTGTTATTGTAAAGATTAGCGCAGGCATTGTTAGAAATCATTACTCTTTGTGTTTGTATGTCTCAGGAAATGGAATAGGCACTCAACATGAAACAGTCTTCGGAAAACATTGTGACCTTCGTTGTTTAGGCTTATACTTTCTCGGGATAAATATTTTCCTGCTCCCAGAGGACCACAATGCTTAGATTGCATTCCTGTGTGATGCATTTTCTTTAAAGATTCATTTAGTTCTCAAAGAAAGTCTCATCATATATCATGGGATCCAGTGACCGTGACAAGTCCAGAAGCATATTTTGCAATATTGTAATGAAAAGCAGTTAACAAAGGGAAGAAACTAATATGACCTGGTCATTCTAGTTCAGCATTCCTGTACAAGATTTAATACAAAGGGGATTTCAGGAGTATGCAAAACTAATATGCATGTCCGTTTTCATCACTCTTGCATGGCCATTTCAATTTTCAGAGCATTGTGAGCTGCTTCATGTGAATATGTGTGGATGCTCTGCAGTTTCCTTGCAGCATGCAGAGAACATTTGCATGTGAAAATCTGCTGGTTTGGCTAAAAACTCTAAAGGTGAATGACTGAATTTCACTGTCAGTGATGGAGCAGGGAGGAAGAAACCAAGTGCACCATCAACAGTGTTTGCTGTGTGCCAACTGATTTAAAAAAAAACCCTAAATGTATGCCATATGCCAGCCAATTGGAAACTAAATTTATGCCATATGCCAAGCAGTTGGAAACTTTATTCAGTTTTGATGTGGCTATTCTGAAGTAAATATGCATGAAAAAAAATATGTTTTTTGTCAGCTAAATGTGTGACAGTGCCATTTCCAGACTGTGCCATTTAACTGTGTTAATAAAACTAATATTTGTATTTTTTCGTTGAAGTGTCCCTTATCAGGTGAAAAAAGAAGGCTTCCTAAAAATTCCTTCAGAAACCAAAGAATATTCAGCTAAAAACCACAATCTCCATCCTATTTGCTTTTTAAAAGATCTCCTCCTTCCTGGCTCTGTCTGGGCACTGAGTTTTCAATGTCATGCTCAGGTGGGATGCCCATTTTCTGGTGGTTCAAATTCATACGCGAGTCCAATACTCCGGCTGTTGAAGTATGTATAAAAATAGCTGCCTGGCTCCAGACCGTGAGCAAGGGGGTTTGCCAGGCCACTCTCACATGTAATGCTGTCATCACCCAACGTTCACCAGCCTCTTGCTCGTGAAGTTACGCTCGCCATGGACTTGCTTTCTCTTTTGTTTTTGCAAGGCACTCGTATGATTTTTGCATCGCTCTCATTTAGACAGGCAAGCCTCGCAAGACGCCGTTGTTGAGTGAATCTCTTTCTCCCATTGTTCTCTCCACCAGTGAGTGCCAGTGAACCTGAACCCGAAGCAGAGACAGAGACAGAACCAGAACAGGAGGCTGAGGCAGAGGCCGAGCAGGGAGCGGAGACACCCAAGCAAGTAGAGGCTACAGAGGTGGGACCTGAGAGTGAGGTGGAGCAAGGACCAGAGAGAGAGCCAGAAGAAAGTGCAATACTCAGTGAAAAAGAGAGGCAGAATGAGGAAGTGAATGAAAAAGACAACTGCTCTGCATCCAGCATATCCTCAGCAAGCAGCACTTTAGAGAGGGAAGAGAGAGAGGACAAGTTAACCAGTGACAATGAAACTGGTAAAGTGAAGTTTTTTCAATAATGAAGGCTTTCCCATGGAAAAAAAAAAAAAAAACTTAAATAGCAGCTCTATTGTTGTGTTAATTAGCAAATAGACCCTTTGCACCTATCACTAATAATTCCTTCACCATGGCCAAATCCCTGTCTCTTCTCTGCTTGGAAATCCACAGACTTTGATGGGGTTTTGTGTTTGGAGGGACAGTAAAGCCTTGATGAAACAAGGTTTCCTTTAAATTGAGGCCATTTTCTTCATTCAAGAATAGCATATTAAATACTTAATCATGGTGTTGCAGCAATTGCATCTCTAGCTCCCAGAGAATTTATTTAGGTTTTCTACACATAAAACAACAAGATGAGAGGCCCTGGTACAAATTGTCATGAGATTCCAAATGTCTTTTTACATGCATTTACTCTTAACTTACTATTAATGCAACAGGAAGAGAAAGGAAGGGTGGGATGTTTTTTCTTCCCCTCCAGTTTTCCTGTCTTGGTTAGGCTTCAGAAAACAGAGGGATACAAAGCTGTTGCTGAATGCGGGTCTCGGCTATGGCCATCCTTAGCTTTTGTGGAGGAGGCACAAGGAACAAATACATTTATACATGGTCTGGAAAAGAGCAGTACTGCAGTGGTATCAGTGGTTCTGGTTAGATACGCAACCAGGAACTTGTGAAGTGTAGCCCATCCTGATAAATACCCTATGAATCAGCTTGCTGCAAGGAGAGAGAATGACAACCAGAGCTTGTCCCAGGCAGAAACTGAAATGCAGTTTTGACCTTTGTTGATTAATTGCTTTTTTCCACTTTTTTATACAGAGGTAAAGGTCTATAATATGATTAGGGCAGTTGATTTCCAGGTCTGCATAGGGCTGAACAGTGGAGTGCATTGTCTTAAGTTTGCTAAATTCTAGATAAGAAAACAAAAACTTTTCACCATGTGACATATGGTCTTGCTCTTCCCGGAAAGAAGAGGGATGACTCTGAATCACATTGCCTCTTAGATATAAATTGTTATATTGTAGTGTTCGTGTTTAAACCCTATCACTGTTTTCTAGGATGCATTAAGTTAATCTTGTTGTAAAGTTAAGAGCTATCTTCTTTTCAATCGCTGCCAAAGCTGAGCTAAAATGTGGCACTTAGAATACTATTGTACTGCTAAGGACTGTGGATGGATGTATATGTGGGAAAGGCAGCGTGGGTATGACAGATGAAGGATGTCATTACACAATGGTGTAGTCAAGTGCAAATAAGGGTACCAAAATTTCCCTGTAATCTTATCTGTCACCAAACCGATCCTTTCATTCAAATAATTACTTATGTACTTTTTGTTAATAGCTTAGAAATGTGCTCTAGCTATTGAAAAGTCAGCCTCTTAAAACTGGCATATATTACCAGTAGACCAAAGACTTGTTAGGATGTGCTATGTAGGCGATCTTCTGCAGTGAACGGTTTGCAATCTAGTAGATGAGGGGATTCAGAAAGCAAACGAGAGTGCTCTCTCCAGGTGCTCCAGAAACCTCTCAGATTCCCAACAAGCAGTTGGCCATTTATGAGGTGGCCCGGTGTTTCTGCCCAGCTACATTAAGGACAAAGGAATAAAACTTTTGGTCCATGCTTGTCCTTCGTTAGCC